AAAAAAAAAAAAAAAAAGAACTTCGGGGATCCCGAGATTGCCTAAAGGGAGGCTTGCTTTTTGACAGGCCCTGCCCACTTCTCAGAGCCCATAGTCAGACCTTCCACGCAGGAAAGAGATCCCCTGTGGGAAAAAAATTCTCATGCTTCAGAGGAACCTACACCAGCTATCTATCTATACTAATCAACCAAGTCCTTTATTCATAAATGTCTTTCAATCAAAAAGAGATACATACCTCGGCACATATTAGTGAGGTGTCTGACCTTTGAGGATAAAAGTTGGCCTCCAGAGTTCCCAGAGATAAAGGATCAAGACTTAGATTGGCTTCAGAGCTCTTACCAACAGTACTGCACGCTGGAAGACAAAGGAGTGAGGTCTTCAAAGGTCTGTGGGATAAAAATGAATTTGTACCTAGAATTTACTCCCCAGCCAAATCAACATACACATCTGAGGTCCTACAAGGACCCCAAGTTTCCCTGTCACACAACCTATCAAAGCAGTATGCATACTCAAGCAAAAGGAAAAAGAAAGCCCAGAAGGAAATGGACTTGAATGGGATACAGGAAACAGAGGACTAACCCAAGAGACCTATGAAGGCAATGTTTTATAAACTACATGAGTACGAGTCTCAAATTATTGAATCCAGGTGGTGTGTTTACAAGTGTCCCTTGTACTATGATTTTGACTTTTCTCTATGTTTCAAATTTTTCATAATACAAAGTTGGAAAAAAAATAGAATCACAAGGATCAAGAACAACAACAACAACAAAATAACGGCACATATCTTTTGCATCGACAAGAGAAAGGGCAGTTAAATAAATGCCAGGATAAATTAAAACATAACTTATTTAATGCTTTGTTAACAACATAGGTGGTTCCTAACTTACTATGTTCTACCATCTAGATATTAAAACTGTGCTCCTCAAGAAACATGGGATTTTTAGATTATGCAATGTGAATGCACTTAATACCACAGAACCATACACTTAAGAGGGATTAAAAGGGTAAATTTCATGTTATGTATATTTTACCACAATAAACTTTTTTAAAAGAAGTGTGATTTTGAAAAATTCAGCATTTTCATTATTTTTTAAAACCCTAGTTGGAGCTTTTGGGGAAACAATAACTTTTGTGATGAAGAAACATTTGTGTGCCGCAAGGAACAATTCTGTATGTATTTTTTTGTACACGTGAGCAAGGGTTTCTTTGGGTTTGCCTAGGAGTAGACTTGCTGCTCGGACGGTATATGCATCTTCCACTCTGGAAGATATTTCCAAAGTGGTTGCACCAACTGACTGGTGTGCCACCAGAAGGGCATGAATATTCCCAATGAGTATCCCCCCCAATTCCGCGTTTTTGCTGGCATTCGTATTTTCAGACTTCCACATTTGGGGTGTGAAATCTGAGTTTCATTTTTATAGAGTAGGGGTGAGCAGGATGTGATCTGTCAGCCTGGCTGAACAGTCGGGACAGTGCCCAACATCTGGTCCAGCAGCGACACAAGCAGGTATGATGCTGGTTGAACTGAACTGGCCAGGGATACTTGTCCTTCACGGAGTCCTTTGTGTGATGGGGGAACCAGTGTGCATGAGGACCTGGGGAGGAGAAACTAACAGCCCTGAGGAGTAGATCCCAGACACTGGCAGCAGACAGGGCCGAGAAGATGCTGGAGCAGCTTGTGTGAGGCTTGGAGGGTGGGTTTTTCAGAGGAGGAGAGCCCATGGCAACGCTGGAACAGAAGGGAGGAACAGAATCTGATGAAGAGAAGAGGGGAGGCGGGATAGAAGAGACTACAGCCTGTTCCAAAGCTCAAAAGCAGGAGAAAATTCTACAGCATTGAAGGAAGAAGGTGGGTATGCTTGGCAGAAAAGAATTTAAAGTAGAGAATAATCAGAAATACTGATGGTGAGGTAAAATTATTAAATTGCTGCATGCCTCAGTATCCCCAATCATAAAAGCAGGATACCAATGGCACCTATCTCATAAAAGTGTGGTGAACATTACATGAAATAATCTCTCTAAGGTGCTTGGCATAATGCCTGGAGCAAGTAAATTCACTAAGTATTAGCTCTTGTTAAATAAGTCGTCTAAGATCACATAGCTCAACTCGTGAGTGGGTGTCTAGGATTTGAAGAGTTCTCTGATTTCAAAGCCCAGACTCAACCCCTGTGCTCTACCAACTACCTACCATTTATGGAGCACAGTGCTCCATACTCTACATTAGTTATCTCATTTACTCCTTATCACATCCCTGAGCTGGGTATCACCATTTTACAGAAGAGGAAATTGGGCATCACTTAACTTGCTTGCCCAAGTTCACACAGTTGGGACTCACTCATACCCAGGCCTGCCTGGCTCCAGGGCCCTCTCGCCACCACCACACTGGGAGTCTCCTGGCCTGGGTCCTAGTCCCAGATCTGCTACTGCCTAATCTGCATCACTGAGTCTGTTTCCTCCTTTTGTAAATAACAGGGTTAGAGAATGATCTCTCTGGTCCCTTTAAGCTCCACTGTTCTGGGAAGGTGGATTTGATGAAATCAGACAGTGTTCCAGGTAGGAGAGAGGGGTATGAGTCAGACGGATCCCCATCCCCATCTGACTGCACAACATCAACCAACAGAGATCCAGAGGCGCCAAGAGAGGAGTCCAGGTCTCCAAAGCATTAGTCATCGTCTGCTCCCACCCCCCAGGGGACCAGCAGGGCTGCGGCTCCAATTATAGTGGATTGATGAGGGGCCTCTAGGATGATGAAAGGGTGGGAGAGGGCATGTCAGAGGGCACACTGGGAGATCTGAATTGCTCAGCCTGGAGAAGAGAAGGCAAGAAGAGCCTCTCTTCAAGTTTCCAGTCTGGGTGGCAGGGGAGAAAGAACACGAGGGTAAGCCTCAGGGTATCTGGGACCTGGTCCTAGTCCTGGCTCTGATACTAACAAGCAGTAAGACCTTCGTTTGGCAAGTTACCTCATCTCTCTGATCTCAATTTCCATGTCTAAAATATTAGGGAAAGAACTCTAAAGAGAAATCCCACCAATTTATACAAAAAAATGTAAAATAATACAGCTAAAAACAACTAAAAGTGGCTCAAAACCCTGGCAATGGGGAGAACTGCTAAGCAGACCCAAACGGAAGGGTGGTGGTTGATGCGATGGAATATTAAAATGTCATTTGGGATGCTGAATGGTAACAAACATTTATTGCACGCTATGTGTCAGGCACTGAGGAGAGGTCTTGACATGCATGACCTCATCTAATATCCTCAAGCATCTTCTGAGCAGATAGGATTGCATTTTTCAGATGAGTGAGCTGAAGCCCTGAGAGGTTCGGTCACCCAACACGTTAATAAGTGATGACATCAGGACTCCAATTCAGAGGTCCATCTGACTCAGAAGTCCCCGGCCCTAATTTACACTCTCCTGTTGGATGGGAGGACTGTGCAGAAATAGACAAATGGATATATGAAAGTGTGAAGTGGGGGGAAAAAAAAACTCTCGAGTGATTATGTTAATGTAAGAAAGTTGGCATCCACACTAGGTTTGGAAATTTATAAATAGGTAATTTAGGATGATGAGAAGTTACTAGGGGCTGCTAAAGTTTAGATGCTTCTGCTCCATTTTCGGTAGTAAAGATGATGAAACATAGAATACCCGAGGGAGGGGTGAGTGCAGAGGAGGGGCCTTTCTGGTTCTACTAGTAACTTTCAAGGTGAGCAGAGAGGGAAAGTACAGCTGCACTTCTTCATCCCTGAGAAGAGACGGGAAGTCTGGTCATATAACTCTCCTGCTCCAAGCTTTTTGGTTACTTCATGTGGCCTACAGCACTAGTTTTCAACCTTGGCTGCATATTACAATCACCTAAGAAACTTTTTTTTAAAGTAGGCTCCATACCCAATGTGGGGCTTGAACTCACGACCTCAAGATCAAGAGTCGCATGCTCCACTGACTGAGCCAGCCAGGCACCCCTCACCTGAGAAATTTTTAAAACTACTAATATCCAGGTCTACTCCCAGAGATTCTTATTTAATTGATATGGGTGTAGCTTTGGCATTGGAAATTTTAAAATCTTCTCACATGATTCCAATATGTGGAAACATCTGAAAACCCTTGCCAAATGATAAAGGCTTAACTCCTTCACCTGACATAGGCCTTGATTTCTTCAGTTAAGCTCCCCTATATCCCCATTTTTCACCTATTTTCTCCAAACCGGTTACAATGTCCTAAATATGCTATGCCCTGCTATTTATATTTCTGCATCTTTACATGTTATTTCTTGTGCTTGGAAGGCCTTCTCCCTTGGCCATCTGGAAAACTCCATCTTCAATTCTGTGGCAGCCAGCCTCCACGATGACCCTCAGTAATCCCCACATCCTGGTGTTGACACCCTTGTAGAGTCCCCTCCCCCACTGAATAGGCCTGGCCTGAATAACAGTATGATATTGTGGACACGATGGAATATGACTTCCAAGGATGGGTCATGACAGACATCGCAGCTTCCATCTTACTCTCTCTTGGATCACTTGCTTTGGGGGAAGCCAGCTGCCATGTCTTAAGCGGCAGCCCCACGGAGAGCTCCTGCCAACAGCCACGTGAGTGAGCCAGCTTGGAAGTGGATCCTCCAGTCTTAGTCAAGTCTTCAGATGACAGTAATCCCAGCTGACATCCTGACTGCAACCTCAAGAGAGATCTTAAGCCAGAACCACCCAGCTAAGCCACTCCAGAATTCCTGAGCCATAAAGTGTGAGATAATGTTTGTTGTTCTAAGCTGCTAAATTTGGGGTTATTATGCCTCGATAACTAATACAAATACCAAGCTCAAGTATATGATACTCTCTGAGAGCTCTTCTCCTCTGCTGAAGTTGAACTAATCACCCTGTACCACTTTGGAGCCTTGGACAGCCCCTATTATAGCAATCATGACATGGAGTCTAACTGTTGGCCTTTCTTGCCCTCTAGATTCAGTTCCACGAGGACAGGGCCAACCATTAGTGTAAATGAACACATGTGAGAGAGGCCATCTGAGTTGACTCTGACAGACCTTTTAGCCCAGGCTTCTTCCCTACACAAAAACTCCAAGGTATGATTGCTGGAAAACATAGATGTCATGGTGAGTGGGTCCTGAGGATTTTCTTAATAATCCAACAAAACCCTGGCATCTATGGATGCATCTAAAGCATGAGACTGGAATTCAGATCTGAATTTGATTTGATTTGATTTTAAAGTAGGCTCCATGCCCAAGATGGAGCCCAACACAGGTTTGAACTCACGACCCTGAGATCAAGACCTGAGCGGAGATCAAGAGTCAGACACTTTAACCAACTAAACCACCCAGGCACCTTCAGATCTGGATTTTAATTCAAATCTGCCAACTACTTGCTGAACTTCTCTGAGCTTTGGTTTCCTCATGCACCAAAAGGCTCTTCCAATTCTAAAATGTAATGATTCTATATTTTCAGCTAGTACTCTTGTTCCATAAAGAAGAGAAAAATAGGCTAGTAGTGTTAAACCATAACAGGGGTTCTCAAATGAGGCTGTGTATCAGGAATACCCCCGGAGCTTTTAAGACACACACACACACACACACACACACGGAGCCCACCGCTATACCTTCCGAATCAGCTTCTCTGGGTCTCTGGAGACATGGCCAGGGCATCTGTATTTGTATATAGTTCCAAAGTGATTCAGATGTGTGTCTAGAGCTAAGAATCACTAATCTACAATATATAAGTCAGAGATTAAAAGATTTTTTTCTGCCAGTTGGTTGGCTCCATGGTTTATAGAGTACAGTGCTAATGGGTTTGTTCTCTCAACTGTTCGCTTTCTGTGAGGTGGACAGATGATAGATGGACTCTTGGAACCAGCCCATCTCTACTACTAGAAAAGCATTCACAGGTGCACTATCAGGACTCCGTTGGATCGTCAACAAAAAGGACTCTTTGTATGACCCAACTGTTGAGGGCATTTACTGGAAAGCAAATCATGGGTTATTTTCGCCTACGTAGGGTAGAGAGCTGCTTTCTTTTTGTGAGACAGGAATGAACAGAAATTAAGAGCACTGGCTATGGAACCCAACAGCTTAAGTTCAACTCCTGGCTCCAGGACTTAATCACACGCTGGGTAACTGTGGCTGCGTGAGCACAGCTTTCTGAACCTCATTTTCCTGGGCATTGGTATGGGGAGGACATGCGCTACCTTGCAGGGATGTTGTCAGGATTAAATGATACAATGTATGTGAAACACTCCGCACAGAACCTGGCACAAAACAGTGCTCATTATGTAGCAGCACACTGGCAAAAACAAAATATGGCACTTTTGTTATTAATAGCAATATATATTTGTCTCGTGCCTTGTAAATTACAAAGCACTCCTATATCTGACACTGAAACCCTCCCCCCACTCCCAATCCTGAGGTGGGCATGGCAGACATTAGTGACCCCATTTTACAGAAAAAGAAAGGCTCAGAAGGGTTCACTGGCTCCAGATCAAATGGCAAAAAAGTGTGTCTGGCTTCAGACCTGGGTGTGATACCATGAAAATGAGTAATTATACACGCACACTTGGCAGGCTGAGCATGTAGGGACCATCTGGCTTCGCGGGCTGAGGAGGACTGGATTTCTGAGCAGCTTCTTTTTTTAGATGAAAGCAAGATGGGGAAACTAAGCTGGCAAACTTTCCCTCATTTTCAATATCGGTGTGATTTGTGCTCCGTTTTGCTTTCCTTCTAACTCTCAGGCACTCCACATCCATGTTCTCTCTGTTCACTCCAGCTGCCCTGGGCCGCACAGCTGGGGTCTGAGAAAACCAAAAGAAAGGGAAGCAGGGGCAGCTGGAGCCATCAGAGGGCTAGGCGAACACCAGCTGTTCCCAAGTCTGGCTGGGGAACAAGAAGCCTGCTGATGAGGGGGACAAGCGGGGTGGGGACAGTGATCCCTGCTCCCCCGTGTCAGTCAACAGGAGGGTGCTTTTCCCGTGCAACAGATGGGTCTTGCTCCTGGAATAATGTAATCCATTATGGCACGAATGTATTTCTCCTGGGGAGCAGGAGGCCAAGAGATCAAATGTTAGTTGAGTCTAATCAAGAAGGCTTTCAGAGAAGAGGAGAACTCGAAAGGGGCCTAAAGGATTAGCAGTACTTGGAAGTAGAGGAAGGAGGTTGGGAGGCTCCCCAAGCAAGAAAACATCGTGAGAAAGGGCATGCGTGTTGGTTTGGGGAATGGGTGGGCCTATTAGGGGGACTGGGGAAAAAGAGTGTGTGGCAAGAAGCAGAGGACAGGAGGGGTAGGGCAAGACCAGACGGAGTGAGGGGGCGAGATGCCATCCTACAGGGAAAATGAAGTCCTGCAGATTCCTGACAACTCCAGGCCAGAGCCCCAGAATGGCAGAACCGAAGGGGCCTCAGGGATCAGCCAATTCAACAACCACCACCCCATAGCCCAATTTATAGACAGGGAAACCGAAGTCACAAGAGGAAATGCACCTCCATGAGGTCACCAAGCGAGAGAGACCATGACTGAGAGACGAGACAAGAACCCCGGGCTCCATGGAGCGCCTGGGTGGCTCAGTCGGTTAAGCATCTGCCTTCGGCTCAGGTCATGATCCCAGGGTCCTGGGATCGAGCCCCGTGTTGGGCTCCCTGCTTGGCGGGGAGCCTCTTTCTCCCTCTCCCTCTGCCTGCTGCTCCCCTTGCTTGTGCTCTCTCTCCCACTATCTCTCTCTCTGTGTCAAATAAATAATAAAGTCTTAAAAAAAAAAAAAAATCCAGGCTCCAGACCAGCAGTTTGGTCCTCTTCCCATCAGACCACCTTGCCAGACTGGCATTTTGATACAAAAGTAGTGTTTTAGGAAGATTTGGCAGCAGGATGCAGGAGGAAAGAGATGAGTCCAGGGGTGAGCTGCTGATGAGACTGGCCTCAAAAGACCTGGAAACCAGCAGCGGGGGGACACAGAGGAGCTGGTGGGAAATCAGAGCTGGCAGTGAGGGGGAGAGCTGAGGTCATTCGCAGGCCCTCGTCAGGCCTGGGGGGTGTTCTCCTGAGGTGGTCATGGGGCACTTGAACCCCTTTATGCCCACTTCAGAGGCAGCAGACAATCACTACTAGCCTCTACTACACACTCCCCACCCCCCAGGTCCTCCTCCCTCTGACCAACATCTACACAGACCTCTGAGTTTCCCACTCAACATTTTAGGACCTCCAGGTTACATCCGGTGCATAGACATGTGTGCTTGGATGATCAGGAGTGAAATTAAAACCCAAACTGGAACCTAAGAGTGTAGACCCTTCCTGGTGGTGAAGAGAACCTGCCAGGCTAGAACTGTGGGGTGGGTTTTGAGTTTTGATGTGAGGAAATCACAGCCACGAGAAAGAAAAACTGTCTTTTCATCTAGCTCCACCCTCACACAATGAGAGCAGTTGGGTGGCAGGGAGCAGGCTTCTTGTGAGGGAAATACCCGGGAAACCAGACAAGCTGCAGTAAGAGCTTAGGCCAGGACCACTGGGGTCCACTCAGGGAAGGGAAAGTGATATCTGACCGTACAGGCGTGTAAGGAGGACCAAAGAACACAGTGCAGGTCACAGCTAGTCTTAAGCCCTTAGTACAGATTGTGCAAAGTGCTTTACACGCATTACTTCATCTAATTATTACAACAACTCGAAGAGGTAAATACGATCAGAATTCTTATTTTGCAAATGAGGAAACCAAAGTTCATGAACAGCATGAAGTCACAGGGCTAATAGTGGTGGAGCTGTCTGATTTCGAAGACCATCTTCTCAACCCGAGCTACTTGTCTCATGTATCAAACCAACAGAGCATCCACAGTCCTTGGTGAGGGGCACTTCCCTCCCCAACCCATCTCTCAATAATGCTGAGGGTGTCACTGAGTCTAAATACAAGTCATATAGAAATTGCTGGAGTTAGACTCTTTTTTTGGAGTTTGATTTTTTTTTTAAGGATTTTATTCTTTTTTTTTTTTTAAAGATTTTATTTATTTATTTGAGAGAGAGAGAATGAGAGACAGAGAGCGTGAGAGGGAAGAGGATCAGAGGGAGAAG